TCTCTCTCTCTCTCTCTCTCTCTCTCTCACACACACACACACACACACACACACACACACACACACACACACACGATGATGGGAAGGTCCTGAGTTTAATTCCCAGATCTGCAAGATAAAAAACAACGTTGACAGACAGATGTAGAATAACAACCAGAGAACTGAATGGCTCTGCTAATCTTTTTCAAAGATGTGATAAAAATGGTAGCTTGTTCAATACTCAACGTGAAATTAGGAAAAAGCCAGGCACTGTGGTGTACATCTGTAATCCCTGTACTCAGGAGGCTGAGGCAGACAGATTCCAAGTTCGAGGCCAGCCTGGGATATATAGTAAGACCCTATTTCAAAAGATAACAAACGAAATTTAAAAAAATAAGACCAATCAAAGTTCTATATAATAGCTCTTAGTAGGTACAGTATGGGCATCTGTGTGTACTACTTTTTCATTTTTAGAAAACAAAGTGTGCAACCTGTCCCAAGAATACTGTGACTAGGATAATTTATAGTACAATTTATAATCTCCTTGGCTGGGTATAGTGGTACATGCCTATGATCCCAGCACTCAGGAGGCTGAAGCAGGAGGATCACTGTGAGTTCAAGGCCAGCCTAGACAGTTGAACTGTCTCAAAAAAACAAAACAAGCTGGGCATGGTGCCACACACCTGTATTCCCAGCACTTGGGAGGCTAAGGCAGGAGATCACTGCCAACTCAAGGTCAGCCTGGGCTACACAGTTGAGTTTAAGACCAACCTGGACGACATAGTGAGGCCCTGTCTCAAAACAAAACTTACATACAAAAAAACCCTTACATACACAGATGTATGTGTGTATATACATACATAATCTACTCTACATACCATATATCAAGAAATTAAGTAAAATCCAAGACAGAAAATCCAGCAAAATAGAAGTTTTCATTTTAAAGAGAAAAATAATTCAAACAATAGGAGGGTAACAATGGTCAATACATTGTGTATGATTATCTTTAACTTAGTTACTCAGAGTACAAGACACAGGCATTTAATTGTCCAAACAATATTAAATTAAGTACTATAATCTACCAGGTTCCAATCTGGAAGTACTGCATACACATCTAGTAAAGTCATTAAATAAACTATTATGTCACCTATTGTCCCTGATATTATTTGCTGAAAAATCTCTTTTGTGTTAATTAGTGCAGCCATCTGGCTTTATTGGTTTTCTTTATACTAATTTTATTTTTTTTTGTACAGGGAATTGAACTCAGGACCTTGCGCTTGCCAAGCACTGGGCTATATCCCCGGCCTGTCTTTATAATAGTTTTAGTATGTTTTTCTGTCTTTGTATCTTTACAGTATTTTGTCTTGATATTTATTTATTTTCTTTTTTTAAAGACAGGGTCTCATTGTGTAGTTTAGGCTGGTCTTGAACTCACTCTGCAGCCCAGGATGGCCTCCAATTTGGGAGGACCCTACTGCCTCACCCTGAGTGCTGGGATAACAGGCATGCACCACCACACCTGGCTACCTATCTTGATATTTAAAGTATATATACATTTTTTGCAGGAAACATAATTGGACTTTTTTTATCCAACTGAACAATAAACTACCTTTTAAATGTGGCCTTCAGGTCACTTACATTTTATTTTATGCTTGTAGACAGGACTTAAATTTACCATATTTGTTAGCAAATATAAAGACACAAATAAGGGTTACTTCATATCGATAAAGACATTAGCTGATCAACAAGATGTAACAATGGCAAATGTACAATAATTTAGGTTCAAAATATACTAAGTAAATATTGATAAAATTGCAAGGATAAAGAGACAAAACCATAGTCAGAAATTTCAAAACTCAGTAATTAATACAGCAGGACAGAAAAATCAGTAAGGACATAAAAGATTTGAACATTTCCAGCCAATTTGACTAAGTGGATTTTTTTTTTTTCTTTTTTTTTTTTGTACCAGGAATCAAACTGAG